CAACAGCGTGCACCCCCCGCCACACACACACACACTTCCTGGGGCTAATCTGAATGAGATCAAGGATGAAGTGTTAACCTCCTGCAAAGAAGGTGAAAAAAACAACACAGGCTGATTGGATCCTGGATAAACAGTAACTTTGTGACATCAGAAAATGTGCTTACAGAGAAAAATCAAGGACACATGTTGCTACTGAGCTCAACCAAGGTCGTTCATACAGATTTATGTTAGTAAAATCTGGTAACAATACATGGACCACACTGACTGATGCTTTTAATAGACAATGTGGCTTAGTCATTTGCTACTTTTAGTTCTCCTGAAAGTTAAAAATCAGCAAATACCATCTATTCATTACATGCAAAAATAAACAACACTGACCATCCAGGAGCATGGCAAATCAAATGCTGGGCCCCAAACTGTTTCCTAGGAGGGATTCTGGCCCCTGAGCAAATTCTGCTGATGGCCTCTGGTCCAAACTGTAGGTTTGTTTCAATCCTGCTCGACAATCAGTCTTCTGTTGTCTTTTTTTTTTCCTAGCATTGCCACATTCCAAGATCCCAGCAATGAAGCTGTTTAGCGCAGTGATGCTGCTCGCATGAAATTACTGATCTTAAACAGAAAAGAAGTTGATGCAAAACTGAATCAACCTAAATGAGAATCTATGCCAGCGTAAACCAGGTGCGAAACCTCAAATACAGAGGTTTTGCACCTCAAAACCAGAAGCCAATGTTGGACAAAACTGCTTTAGTTTTCTCAAAGCGTTGTGAAATATTAACAAATAAAACATGGCCAAGTTTGTGGCTAATAAATCACTTCATGTCAATAAGTAATTCCAAGAAGCAGGAAAAAAAGGTAAGTTTCTGGTTCACTGAAAACATTGGCTTCTACTGTACYGAGCAGGCTACTCACGTGTCCTCAGGCTGCTGGCAGGTTTTCTCTCCAACACTACAGAGAACTGAAGGATCTGAACGCAATCAGATCATCCTCTGCTTCTGTGTCAAACATAAACTAAGGACAATCCGGACACGAAATCCCGCCTGAAATACTTTTCCATTTGCTGAGCAGCAGCGTGCACAGACCCACGCAGACGTTCTCCGTCACTCTCCCGGTGAATGTACGCACAAAGGAGCTTCACAGCCGAGCGGAGGGGTTTGCTTTTAACTCCTGCGGCTCCCCAGAGAGGGCCAGACAGAAAACGTGTGGATAAAAGAAAGGGAAACACTGATGGGAAACTTTGATTTTTTTATTCTTACACAGATCTCCTTTCATTTTACACAAACAAATAATTWAGCAGACAATTGGTTGAGTAAAGCTTTTAATTTTTTATGTTTTGATCTCAATAGTTTTTTCTCTCTTCATTTCTAGCCCCTATTGCCAGATTTACAATCAAATAAATCCTGATTGCACTAGCCTTTTAAGTGAGTAGAAAACAATAAAAGAAATACACTGTCACACCACAAAAACTCAATATCCACCTTTAAAGACAAAAAAGTTGAGCAATTACAGTAATAATGCCAAAAAGCAACCCAGCGTCGATGAGAAATCAGCTGCACAAACAAAAACTAAGAAAAAAAAACTCTGACTTGCATGTTAACAACAACTGGTAAATTTAACGCAAAGTTGATTGATGCCAGCAAATCTACAGCCTGAASACCCTGGAGGTCACGCAATCCCAGAAAAACTTCCACAATCTTCAACTAACCTGCAGGGTGAGGAACAGAACCCAAAACTAAGATGGCTGCAGACTAACGGGCTCGACACACGGGGAACGACAAACGACATYAGCGGCTGCCGTCGCAACCAGGGTGAAACGCAATAGTGACGGCAGAGTTGCAAATTGCGCTCTCAGGAYGCTTGTCTTCAAGGAATTCGATTGGTTCTTCTGCTGCTTCTTGTAAAGTTTATTGGTGATTGGCAAAAAAAAGAATAGTGTGCATTACAGATGTGTGAACTAAACAAATCTTGCGATGCTAATGATATTGAAAAAAAAAAGGCATGCAGAGATACGATTTTATGAGGAAAAAGTTACCGGTACTTCACCCTGGCACCGACAAATTCCCATACGGTTGCCTTTGTTTTTAGTAATCACTTCRTAAAGTGTCGTATAAAATTGGAAAGTTTGACACAATTAAAATAATGTTGAAAGTGGTAGCTAACTCCGCTCATTGRTCAGTCAATAGCTGCGTTTCCATYGCAAATGTGCGCAAAACTTTGTMGATATTMTGTTAATGTCGAAAAACACAGTTTYGCAATTGCAGTGTTTCCATTAAGTAAGAAATGCTATTAAAGTCATGCGTGAATACRTTTGTTCWCACGATAAGTCATTACAAACATGGYGGCGATGGATGTAAACACATAGCATGTTGCTACCACAACACTAGCGCTCGTCATCAGGGGAGACGTCRGCGTCTTATCAAKGCTTTYGARTGACAAGCCCCCTCATACTTGGGAGGGGCTACGTTCGCAGTGTTTTTGGGAAAATGTAGTYGGTGAGTTTAATACTTTCTTTTACTACTTCGGTGATTTCACTATTACTTTTACTTCCYGTTATCTTCTTCTTCATCGTCTTTTTGCCAGTAGAAACAGCCGGTTCTTGATCATWTGAATCCCGTGATGCGAAAAAGTGTTTCCATTGCAGTTTTGCGAAATACATCAATTTCGATACGGCCGAAAAACCACCTCTTCCTAGCGCMAAAAYATTTTGYTGAAAACGTAATTTTTTCYGAAAYTGACGTGTTTMCATTGCGCAAATTTATTTTAGAAGTTGTAATTCACGCATTTTCATGGTCAATGGAAACACAGCTAATGAAACATTCGCTGATTGGTTGTAGTGCCATGCAACAGCGACAAAAGTTGAAARYTGTTCAACTTTTACATGATTCGTCGCAAGCTCGTGTGTGCACGTCTACRTGTATGAGCGCAAAACTTTACACGAACGAGTTTCGCCGGTCGCTTGGCTAACTGAGGAGGGCGAGCGATTGCCGCCTCATCTCACAAGTTTCATAGGAAATGACAGGAGAGACAGGGTTCCTTAAGGCAAGTTAAATTTAAGACTTTTTAAGACCTCTTTAATTCCACTTGAAATGAAATTTAAGACCAACTTAGCAATAAACCCAAATGACCAAAAAAAAAAAAAAAAAAAAAAAAAAAAAAAAACAACAAAAAAACAGTTAACAATTCCCAAAGGTCATTTTAACACAACTAGCTTTGAGAAACATTCGTAAATTAGTTAACTGTTACAAATTATTGTCGTATTTTACACAAATTACCATCATTCTACTTACAATGTGTTAATATTTTAAAGACCTCTGATAGTTAAGACATTTTAAGACTAATTAAGGCCTTACTGTTGGATTAATAAATTCAATGCCTTTTAAGACTTTTCAAGGATTTGCAGGAACCGTCACCTCCCATGCGTCGAACCCATAACAGTCATTAGGCAGCATGTCTGATGGCTTAACGAGCGCTTCAAGTGTGAGGTAGCTATAGTCAGAACTTATGCTCATTTGTGTGTTCTCATTAATTCACAGCTGAACACATCGTCAGGATGAGGCGGGAGGGGACTCGAACCGGACCATCTCTACACACAAACATCGACGCTCACCTTCACTGAAACAGAATAAGAGGAGCCTTACACCTGCTCTATTTTAGCAGCGCCTATTTCAGGCTGCCACAGTTTATGGGCAGAGATAAAGGGAAGCCAGGTCACCTCTGACCTTTGACTAACTGGGGGCCTAATAAAAACATACAGGCGGGAGTTTGGAACATCAAACCCACAACAGAGACCCATGTTCCAAGAAGCTCAGGCTTTATTTTAAAAAATATTCTTTAAATCACAAACGTTCATCAGTATGTACAAACTGGATAATCGTTGTTGTAATTTTACTGAAATATGAGACCCTGCTTGTATAATATTTACTACATAAACAACATTTTTTTAAATTTATTTTTCCAGTCAGACATGCAGCTCATTCCAGAGATTAGAATAAACAGCTTTATGGAGATGGACGGTACCGCTCAGGGCGTAGCAGTGCTTCCTTTTTTGGGTGGCACAGAAAGCAGCACTTTGGTCACCGGGCGACCACCGCCGCCTCAAAAGGAAGCCTGTGTCCATGCCTGTGGCTGAACTCAGGAATGTCTGTGCTCTGGAAAGCAACACTCGGGTCTCATGGGGTGTTTGGTTTCGCCACAAATGAATTTGGCTGCCTTTCCTCCCATTCAAAATACGATTCGCCTCCAGGGTGGTGTGTAAACCCCGTGATGCTTGTTTACGTTTTTTTTTTTTTGGGCTGCACGAACATAATTTCAATGCCTAAAGCAACAAAACTACACAATAAAAAAAGAGGTGTAAAAATACACATAAATCAGATTTATGCAGGTTTACTACAACGTAAAAACAACACGAACSCTTGTGTTTTTCTTTAGTTAATTTAAAGACAATAACTCTTCCAGAAGCAAAAGTGGAGCAACAGTTTCTAACTAGTTTTAAAGGGGCAATCTCATGTAAAATCAACTTTTTTGAGTTTTATATCATGTTATAATGCTATACTCTCATAAAAAAATATGCCCAAAGCCTTGCTTTGACTCATTCATGCATGTTTGAGAAATCCTGCAGCATTTTTTGGAAGCCATGCTGAGGAGCAAAATGACAGGTGCGGACCAGAAACGCCTCTGGGACGTGTCTTTAAGCTGAACTTCCTCATGGCAGAGTGCCCCCTCCCCACATACTCCGCCCATGACTCCTGCAGGCTCCCGGGTGAAAGTGAAAGTGAAACCTAACTGTCTGCTGAGCTCTCAACATTAGTTCTCACTCAGTGAAGCTCTTTTCAGATTTAAAATACCTTCGAGGAAATGTATTTTCATATRCCAAGTAAACTGCATCATGGTAACATTTGCGGTCGGTCACACTTTCCTCACAAGTCACAGAAGCTCAAACTCCTGTCACTTGTGAAAATATACAGAATAATCCAAAATGCTAGGTACAATCCTGCTGCTCTCACCGTCTGTAGCATCCTCGCAGCTCTGATGGAAGTTTTCGTACGAGTCCCAGCGGATCAGGGGATCCTGGGTGTTGTAGTCAACCGAAACACTCGGCCCGTTCTCCAGGTGGTCCATACCTTGACCAGAAGTATGAAGAGACAGAGCGCGAAACGTGAATGTCTTTAAACCAAAAACCTCACCAAAATATGATCAGAGTTTTGGGATTTCCCTCTCTGATACTTACCATGTATTTTCTCAGGACCAAACGAGAAAATAAACTCAACTTTTCCATATTCTGGAAACCTGTCGTCTGCACAAAGAAAACAGCAAAACATGAGGAATGGGATATTGTGAATGTGGAATGTTCAAATTGATCAATTCCACATTGTCTGTCAGGCAGCCATTAATCCTTCTCACCTTTAAATGTCTCATCCAGCTCATCTTTCCCAAAGATGATCCCCAGGTCATGAATAGCACAGGTGTGGAACTGCACACGGAATATCACRTCTCTGCACGGGCTGTGGTATTGTTTGTGGTAGCACTTGAGCTGAAGGATGAAAGTCATGAGATTCATCAAACACAAGTCCAAGTGTGTGTTTCACAGGTTTGACGCTAGTCTTTTGGTTTTACTTTAATTTTGTTCAGTGTGAAAGTTTCTGTGCAGGATCGTCACAAGAGTGACCCGAGCTGAAAAACCTGAGGAATTTTAAACATGCAAATAAAAGTTGGCTTTCTGTAATTATCTGTAAAGATTGAAAGTCATATAATTTGCAAACAAGCAGTTTGATTTGTGTTTTCCACTCTGCGACGACTCTCCCGTTTGGCCATTTGCCCGCCGTCACATTATCCCAGAATCTGAGCAACAACAAGCATCAGCAAAAAGCCGCTGCATCAGATGATTCGGCAGATTCCATTAGTCCGTTTTAAATAAAGAATGAGATATGAGTTTAGCCTGGTGAGCCAAAAACAAGAAAGCCTCAAGTCCACAGAAGTGCTCCCACTGACTCGCCACACCGAAGAACATTATGTTATGGTCTGAATAACTGCAGAGGGAAAAACTTAGCTGACGTCTGCAGTTCATCAACACGCAAAAACAACAACAGCAAAAAATAAAAATAAAAAAATAATAAAAAAAGCCTGAGATTTTCCCCAGGCAAAAACTGTCCACCTAACCAAGTTTTAAAACCTTTTATCAGCCAAAAAAGTCTTTTGATCTTGTTTTGAGACTGATTTAC